GTTGGCTCCCGTGGTGATACTCTATGCCATTGTGTTTAATACAAATTTGGTATATTGACAAGTAAAGGACTATTTCTCCTGTGGTACTTGTGATTTTGCATTTTTGTATCATATTGATTCTATAATTATGCTCGTGTAAAAATATGTTACCCTATGAATTTTGTTAGATGATACATGTACATTTAAGAACTATGGTAAAGTAAAAACCAATTCAGAAGGACTAGTTTTCTAAAAGAAGACTTTGAATGTTCTTCTGAAAGAAGAAATACTACTATGTGCTAAAATTTTGGTTTTCTACTCGCAGGGTACAGTGATCAAATTAAGGAGCCTAACCAATATTTCACCGGAACGTACGTTATTTCATCTTGAAATTTAAGTTTAATTCATAGCAAAATTGCTAAAACGGTAAAGATACTAATATGAGTTTGAAACAGGTTAGGAAATGTTGAATATTTGGTGTGTCGAGATGGTGAAGGAAAAGTTCATGCATTTCACAACGTTTGCACCCATCGTGCTTCGATTCTTGCTTGTGGAAGCGGCAAAAAATCGTGTTTCGTATGCCCTTACCATGTAAGTTTCTACTTATGAAAAACCGAAAACTGTTTTCTTCGATATTACTATACTTATGGTAAATACAAATGCAAAAATTTCAATTCATTTCCAATTTTTGTAGGGATGGGTGTATGGCATGAATGGATCGCTTACGAAAGCTTCCAAAGCAACCAAAGAACAGTCACTTGATCCCGATGTATGTGGTCTTAATCATTTAATTAGTATCCAATTTTATCTAAACAAATACTACCTTAATTTCATATTATTTGCAACGATCTGACATAAAAATGTGAGTAAAAAAATGTCTAATCGTTGCAAATAATTTAAAACGGAGATAATATAAGGATTTGATTTCAATCCATTTTAATCTATAGTTTATATAGCTAAAATGGTGATTCTTGTTTTAGGAACTTGGGCTTGTACCCCTGAAAGTTGCAGTATGGGGCCCATTTATACTCATCAGTTTGGACAGATCAAGCCTTGAAGTAGGTGATGTTGGATCTGAATGGCTCGGTAGTTGTGCTGAAGATGTTAAGGCCCATGCTTTTGACCCTAATTTGCAGTTCATCAATAGGAGTGAATTTCCAATGGAATCTAATTGGAAGGTATTATATTAGTACTCTACTCTACTGTTATTAACAATTTAATGTTAGATTAGTAGAATTGTTATGTGTTTAATTGCGCGACTAACATTTGATTATATGATTTTTCTTGTTGTAATTGAATTCAGATTTTCAGTGACAACTATTTGGATAGCTCGTACCATGTTCCTTATGCACACAAGTACTATGCAACTGAACTCGACTTTGATACTTACCAAACCGATGTAAGCTCTAGTTCTTACATAGTTACATTTATTCTAATGATGATCCTTGTAAGATGTCATTTATGTGTACAAAAAAGCCGATGAAAGTCATGAAACTAAGTTACTCCTTTCAAATTTTTTAAGCGCGCCACTTCTGTATAGAAATCTTCTACATTTTTATGTTATGGACTAAATATTGAATGTTTCTATGATTATCTTTAGATGATCGGAAATGTCACGATTCAAAGAGTGGCAGGGAGTTCAAACAAGCCAGATGGTTTTGATAGACTTGGATCTCAAGCATTCTATGCTTTTGCATACCCTAACTTTGCTGTGGAAAGGTACATTGGTTATTAACTCTTCTTACCTTTTCATATAATGGTGGAGTCATTTAAACACTCTTTGATAATGACATTTTGGCTACTAATTTGAAAATTTTGGAACTTTTTGTGGTTTTCTTTCAGGTATGGCCCTTGGATGACAACAATGCACATTCTTCCATTAGGACCTAGGAAATGCAAATTAGTGGTGGACTACTATATTGAAAAATCAATGCTGGTAAGTTTTCATTTGTGTAACTTCTAACAGTGTTTAGCAGTTTAGCGTTTAGTGGTGGAAAGTAAGTCACGAATGTTGAGCACTTGAGCTTATCTTGAGTTGATTTGGTTCGAGTCATATTTGGGTGTAAGACCAAATTTGATTTTGTTCTACTCAATCCGAGTTCATAATAAATTTTATGAATAGCAATCAAGAGTATACATTCATAGTAATTTTTGGGTTGATATGTTTGGGAACAATTAAAAGCCGATTTTTTCAAAGTATGTACTTGTATTTTTTTTAATGTGTATGTCACATAATTGATACCATGAAACATATTTGGCTTAAATACTCGACATGCAGCATTACTTGAAAAAATTTATAATTTAATATAAATTATTTTTTTGGTGAAGGACGACAAGGATTACATCGAGAAGGGCATATCAATCAATGATAATGTACAGGTACGTTATAAATGAACATGTGACTTTGTTTATCATGGGCTGTGCAAACTTGACAGTGTTTTACCTCAGAAATTTAAAGATTAGGTGCAACCGTAAATGTCCATTACTATGCATAAATAAAAACGAGTTTTTGGTGCACTTAAAACTAGATACACTCATACACGCATACGATTTGGTACATAATAGACGCGCTAATTAAAAACCACAACCACATATAGACATTTTTGTAAATATTGACATATGTATAAATTGACATGAGATAGATAAATATTACCAATAAATAGTCTAATAGTTTTCTAATGTTACAATTAAATTTTTGTGAACAGTACATCATATTTTATACCATTGTGAGATTTAACACGATAACATGTACTCTAATGTAATTATATACTGTATTATTTTATGGCACAAAAAAATACTAGTATAATCCAAAAATCTTCTATCAATGGCCATTACCTTGTGTGAAATGACTAAAATACCCTGGTACGATGCTACACGCGCCCAGAATGACTTGAGATGCTATATTGACATATAATAAGGAAATATCTAACTGATAATTGTGGTGCAAAATTGCAGAAAGAAGATGTGGTGTTGTGTGAAAGTGTCCAAAAAGGGTTGGAGACACCAGCATATCGTAGTGGAAGATATGTGATGCCAATTGAGAAAGGAATCCACCATTTCCACTGCTGGTTGCACCAAGTATTGAAGTGATTGCAGCAGATCAGATGTTCGTTTCTTAATTTCCTTTTATTGGAATTTGATATTATAATAATAAGTAAAATTATAAAGTCATGTAGTTGAGACTGTTGCCAGAGTTGAGCGTATGCTCCTCATGCACTTAGTTATCAAGTGTGTATGTGTTTGATCATGGGCAAAATGTTTCTTGCTAGAATTTATCATATTATGGTGCTAATGCCCAATATAAATAAACACCATAGCACCCCTTTCCCTACTTAAGAAATTTTATCCCATTTATTTTCAGGGGATCTATGAGATAATCGTCTATGAACATTAACTTTCGACTCGTGTATGGTATTCATCCCTTGTGTAGGATGAAGCAAACAATGAGTGTATGAAGTTTTCATTGAATTTCTGTTTTACCCATTTTTGTTAAATAAAATCACGAGACAGTTGGTGTTATTAAATATTAAGACAATACAAAATATTTCTACTATGGTTAAATCTTTACAATTATATATATCTTTTTTCCTAATTAATCGAGGAGAAGTCGTTGTCAAGAATAGCCATACTCAAAACAATCCTACCTTTTGTTTAATTAAGGGTAGTTACAATTTTAGAAGGTATCTTTCTATTGGCAGTGCCTATTTTATATTCTTATATAAGCAATTTACATGTTCTTCTCTTTTCTTATTGGCTCCTTTGTTTCAAAACCTCTCCTCCCTCTCCTGCTTCGTAGACGAATTTGCTGACTATTACACCACTCCTTAGTCCCAATTCTAACAATCACAGACCTCTGTATCCTCTACTTTAGGTAAACTTCAAATGTTTTTTCATTTCCGTGTATTGTGGGTGTATTTTCTTTCTTTTGTTCCCTCTCCCAAATCTTGGATTTGTCCTACGTATAGAGTTGAGCATTAGTTAAGATAAAAAGACTTGATAACAATATAAGGTTTTTAGTAAATAATGTCTATTATGCGTTTTAAGTATCTTGCAAATAATTAATAGAGTTGCACCTTGTAATAATCAAATACATAGTAATTGACAAGGGAATCAATTATGCCCAAAATTGCTCCATTTTCAAGGTGTAACTTTGTAAAGATTTTTATGAAGAAACAAACTTGATTCACTTATCACAACTTTTCAATGTGTAACTATTAACGGAAAAAATGGAGATAAAATAGATTATTTAAATTCATTATAAATACTTGTATGTTCATTATGATTTATAACGTGTTAAATGTTCATTTAAAATATGTTCATTTTATTTTTATCAACCCCTTTGGATTACCCCGAGTCAGACTCACTGCTGGTTAAGTAAACTCTTCTCCACTGATTCATCGCCAATTGTAACTCATCCCGCTTCATTGGTGCATCTTCTTTCTTTATCCCCGTCATTGACTTCACTGCCGGTGGCAATAATGCGACATCAAGAGAACATAGCACCGAAGTACGACGACTGAAAACGTCGACCACCAAGGATCGAAGAATCAGCGTGTCAACTTTGGCCAAGGATTCAACAATGGCTCGCTGATCTTACGCGGCTGAGAATTTGAGCACCGTTGAGGATAGAAGTTTAATTGGGAGGCGGCACAGCTTTGGATCAAAGTTTGGAGAAGGCCTTCTTCAGAAGTTTGTAGATGACGAGAACACCCATTGAGACCTCTTCCCTATATCAACAACCTCACCTTCCCCGTTCACCGGAGTAAGGCTTAGAGAACGATGTGAAGGGTATCTTGCGGGGTGGCAGAGATGGCAGTGATGGTAGTGGAGGAAGAAGACGAAGATCGGAAGCTAGGGTTAGCGGTGGTCCAGCTATCTGCACTAGGGTGAAGCTTAGAAATTGTGATCGCAGAGGACTCCCTAGGCTCCAACTCATTCTCCTACCAATAGAGCTAGACATTCAACATGAAATTCATCAATGCCTCATTTATATGACAGCTATAACATTATTATGTCATAAGTTTGGAGCAACGGTCACACCGGAGCAGACTTCCCTTTATATATAAAGTAGTAATCTAGCATATATATCTACTCTTCTTATTCCACAAGCAGAAAATACTACAAATGCCATCCTTCAGCAGTATCCATATTCCAGAAGGCAGAAAATACTACAAATGCCCTTATTTGTTTGTTCTTTGTTTTCTACTAGTATGCTTAAATCCGTACGAGATAAAATCTGAACATTCTGGGATAGTTGACTACAACAAGCTGGTACATTTTCAACATTCACCATACCGCTTCTTTCAGGAGAATAGCAAATTAGCAATAACAGTCCTGATACAAATGGCCTAAACTGCAAACAAAAAAATTGGAGATGACAGTTCAGTTAGTAAAGAACTAATCACTTGGGAATTAATAGTCACAAAACCTATTTTAGACTTTCCGAGAAACCTGTCACCTTCCCTAATATAGTAATGGTTTCAAATTATATACCAGAATATAGCCAACTAAGATAAAAATGATCAGGATAAGATTAAAGTGATCCAAAAAGGGTCCTTTTGTAAAAACACGCCATATCCTGATCCATGTTGGCCTGTTGGGTATAGGTGTTGTCATAACTAATGTTGGAGCTTGGAGGTGGGATTGATTGATTAATATAAAAGAGGAGATGCATGGCCTTAAAGTGCTAATTGAATGTATTACAACATTAAAAGTCGGATAGCTTTATATACATAATTAAAACAAACAGTAGGAGTAAGAAACAGAAAGTCAGACTGAAGCTAATGCAGATGGCCATCACAAGGCTTAATGAACAAAATGTTGAATCAAAATACAACAAGAGCATTAGCAATGAAGAGTTGACAAGAATTTAAATGCATTTCAAGTATACTTCCTTGGCCTTTACTCCTATGTGGTACCCAAGACTTGCAATTGAATCCCGTCTACTTCCTTGGCCTTTGTGGCTCTTTCAACTTTTCACAACCAAAAAAAAAAATATACTCCGTGTATATATTTTTTATTTGTTGATATTAACTGTTCTAACAGTAACTTACACTTTCATTTGTACATGTATCCTAAAAAGGAAATGAAGAGGTATTAGGTGCATCAATATTAATATTCCCACAAAGGATGATAATCTTGGAATGATAATCTCTCAATTCCATTTTGGTTATAATGCGGATTCTGATATATTTATATGGGTGGTGGTTATTCATTGTTAAAGGCACTCTCCTAGTTACTTGAGCATTTAAACCTTTCAATAAGCTGAGAAGTTTAACAAAGTTTCCTGGGACACACATTAGCACATTAGTAACACTTCCATACAACTAAATCACAAAATTCACTTTAATATTGGCCAGTCATTGCTAGTGTGGTGACTAAGTTTGTCCAATGCCCTTCCCTGATACACAACTCGAGTACCTAACTCCAAAACATCATATCCCAACAACAAATCAATAACTAATGTCCTATATTTTCTGCAGTACACCATTCCGCCATCCTCTTTGAGTTGAACTCAAAGTATAATTGATACTACCATAACTACTTTTTTGAAGGAATAACTCAATGGCTTTGCACAAAGATCATTGCTTTGTACCACCTCCACCTGAATAAGAAATACAAACATAATTGACTTGCCACTCTCTATTTCCTAAGTTGAACCAATATTCCAATTTATCCTTCACATTGAGCAGTGGGGAAGGTCAGGGGCTCACTATCTGGAATTCTGGATCTGCAATTTGTTTCATTAATTCTAAATTTAATGGGTTTCTAGCAATTTCTCCACATCTATAATCGACCCCTTGATACGTTAAGCACAAGATTACGTCATTGCTGTTGAATCTTGACCTTGGTTCAAAACTTGTTGATTCTGTTCTTTCTATATTAGATCCCAAAAATTAAAAAAAAAAAATAAAAACAATACTCCGTTTTGCACTACAACACTACCAATTTGAGGAATTGAAAATAATCCCACCATCTAACAGCATGAAAAAATTGAGGCCACACGCTTTGTTATCATTTAGTAAATTAGTAGTGCTAGACTGCTAGAATCATATTGAGTTAGATTTCAAAAGGTTTCTGTTACAGAAATTCTTCATCATAGGCTCCATGTATGCATATACTCTTCATTCAATTATATTTTACTGATGTGAAGATCAATCAACTAACCTAGGATTTGGTGTTATCTGGGGCATCTGGTTGTTTTCCTGGCTCAGCACTCTGAAATGCTGGTAATTCAGAATATGCGCCATTTAACTTCTCTAATAATGGGAACTCGGCCTGAGAACATTCCAAGAAAAATAGATAGTTTAGGGGACTTAACAGGAAATTAATAAGTACCATAATATAAATCAATGGCAATCTGCTTAGTACACGAAAAAAGAACACTCTTTTACTATGAACAAAATAATATGAAGTTGAAGAAAGCTAATAATACCATGTTTATGTTGAATCTCTTAACTGCTCCTGCTATTTGGGGAGCAAGAAACAAGTCTGCCTGCATATAGGCAAATAATCTGCATTACATTACTGAAATGACCAAAGGTCCATCAAATGTCAGACCTTTGCATCTACCATAAACTAACCCTCTCACTCGAGGAGCAGGGGCCTTAATCTATAAAATTAAGCGCTATCCTCAACCCCCCCCCCCCTCCCCCCCAAATATATATATATATATATTTATATTTATTTATTTATTTATTTATTTACAACTCTAGGATAATGCTCAACAATAGAAATGTTATCAGATTGCAATTCTATTATATAATTGAATACTAGCAGGAGAGACAAACCAAGGCAACTTCATCCCCAGTAGCATATTTGCCAGTGTGTTCAGCTAACAGCTTCTCCAATGCTGAAGTTAAAAACAAATGGAAAGCAATTAACGGTCAAACTGATATAATTGCCACATATGGATACTATGAATTGAAACTCAAAAATTTGTCACAGCATGCATTGACTGGTAAAAGTTAGCACATAGTTGACAACATTTTTTGTCAATTCGAAAGATGTACACCAACTTTTTCGGACATGAGGTAAAAATACTTAAAGAAAAGCAAACAGATCAAAGCCAAACAGAATTTTAGGGCAAAACAATCATTTAGAACCATGCCCATTCCCAACTCATCTATACTAGCTCCTCGGTAAGTGACAACAAAAAACTAGAGTAGCAGTGGCAGTTGTAAGATTAGAAATTTAATTATACGAAGTAATTCCCATTTGCTTGGATAGGCAATAACTGGATAACTATCTTACTTAAGTAAATTGTGGCCAAACAAAGTTGATAGGCCTCTTTGGATTTTAGAATAATTTTCTGACAAGAGAGCAAGTTAAATGGTGTCTTAGGTATTTTAGTAGTCATTATCATACCTTAGTATTCCTATCCACTCTTACACAAACACGTGGGCGAGCCCATATTATTTCCGATCTGCTTTATTTTAAGTTCTTTTCACTTCAGTCTATTATTATAGAAGTGAGAATCAAGCCACATCCTTGTTCGTCCATGCCAAACAGGCATTGTTCTCATAATCACAATTAGTATTGGTCTCAGAGAAGTTAGATAACACAATGGCTGTGCAACTCTATAGAAAGGTGTGGTTAGAGGTTTGATTTGTACTTTGACAAATTATCTAGTACGCCTTCCCAGCAAGTATAAAAGATAATATAAAGCAACTGCTTTATTTCATGGTTTGTGTCAGCATTCAAGCATATATAGTTCCCAGCAACTTATGAGTCATGACACAGTTTCATGAATATAACAGATACATATCTTCAGACTACAACATATCTGAAAAAAGGGCATGATTCAAGTGCGAAACAGTGGTTCTTGACATAAGCCTATTGCAATTATATCATGCAAGAATATTGAATCTTAGAGCAGACGGGAAAACATTCTAATAAAAATGAACAAAGCAACACCACAGTTCTTTGGAACGGTTCTTTTCACATGAAGGAATACCACCCGTAACCCTAGAAGTTAAAACAAAGAAAAAAAACTATTAACAAAAAAACATCTGTAAGAGGATAGCATGTAAAGGCTAACCAGCAAAGCCTTTTTTGATATGATGTTGCACCCAAGAAAGCCTTTCATCAGAACCAAGTTTTTCTTCAATATACTTCTGCATTTAGAGAAAATGCATCATATACGCTGCTCTACAATGTATGAAAAAACAATGGTACTGTAAAGAACAGAAAAATATAACAAATAATGAAAAACACATTAGTACTAACCGCTACAGCTAAGTTCTGGAAAGGTTGTATGTTCGAAGCCACAATATTTGCAGCCTAGAAAAAGAGAGAAAAAAGTTAGATCTGATTTTAAAATAAGTGCTCCTACCATTAAAACACGTCAACATAAGCCTGGACTGCTAGGCCAGCCATTCTACACAGATCATTCTTCCCCCAGCTTGTGTCCGGCCTTAAATCTAATATTATACACTTACACTCCCTTCTTCTCATAAAGAATTGCATATTTTCTATTTTGGATGTCCAAAATTAATTTCAACTTTGCTTTTCATGGTACTCTACTACTCTCTCTACCCACTTTGAACCAGGTTTACTGAATTCCACACCAACAGAAGAAAGCTTATTTTAGATGATAGTGGGGAAATTTCATGTGCTTATAGTAGCAGAATGCTCCTAAAAGGCTACAAAATTTGGAAATATTGAATCTAATTGCAACCTCACAATAGTTAACAAGAAAACTATCAGCAATTGATGACAAGGTTATTGCTAATTTAATTCTTGGCGTATAGAAACATAAAATAATAGAGACAAAAAAGTAATATTTAAAAATAAATATATATATATAAATACAACAAATACATACACACATAAAGAGATACTTGATAATCAACGATTTTATAATTTATCTGGGTAGATGTAGCCTGCAAATATTATAGTGCAGAAAGACAAAAGATATACACTACATAAACTAGCACAAGATTGAAAAAGTAATGAAACAAAGAACCGTGGAGAGAGAGAGAGAGAGAGAGAGAGAGAGAGAGAGAGAGCGAATGGCAGCGACAATATGGCATTCAAATGATTATGACATTTGTTTATAATGAAAACTGTTAGAAAAACTAGCAAGTGCAACCAGTAATATACCCAATTGATGTTTGCCTCAACACAAGACTACATGAGAGTGGATTAATTTCTATCAGACCATACTAACATAGTAACAGCTTATACATGACACAAAATATGCAATCAATTTACCAAGTTTAGTAAAAGAAACATATGCTACACCTGGTAATTAATAGCTCTTTTCTGAAGATTCTGGGGCAACAACGAATGTTGTGGGTACTTTTCTTCTAGATACTGCGTATTGAATCATGAAGCTTCTTTAGTAAATACTTTAAAATGCTAGAATAAGAGCTACAAACTATCATCTTGAATAATCTGACAGCGTATACTGACCATTATGATAGCAAATGAATCCGCAGTCACTATATCCTCATCCACCAACACCGGCACATAACCAAGAGGATTCAATTTTTGAAACTCTAACAATTAAAAAAAAAAAAGTGAAAAGGAATTATTGCACCCACAAAAGCACTATCAATTCTATCAAAAAATATAATAATATAATTGAAAAATAAAAATAAAGAGTTAACTAGAGTGCAATCTGTGCATTACCCTAAGGCCGGAAAAGTTAAATGCCTGTCTCTCACAACTTCTATAGCTCAATTATATAAGGGAAAGGATGAGGGATGAGTAAAAAGTTGGTGTCCAATTTATGAACTACCCATAATTTCCCTTCTTCTCTAATATAAAAATAAAAATTAATAAATAAAAACAATTATGATTGCAAATATTGATTTTCAGAAATCATCACAAGATTTATTTAACCTTAGCAGAGATAGCCAACAGCAATTGAAAGAGACAATGTTACTCATTGTGGTTGCCTTAAATAAAGATAATTATTCCGGTTCCATATCTACTAACCTAAAGGGTAAGGGCATTACTAACATCTTGCCATTGCCTTATAAGAAAATGAAGTTATCTCCATACAATATTTGGAGAGAGAGAAAAACTATCATTAGTTGTTATAGAGTTTGGGGATGATTGCCTTTGTTATAAGGTCCCTAACCCTAAGAAAGCTAATTTAGGTCAGCTTTCAAAAGTAATTTTGTGGGATATGTGAAAATTTGAAAGGCTTATAGGCTTTTTTTACGAGGCTATATATATGATATGTTGTTCAACAAGTTTGTCTACATATGCATGATCCTCGAGATGGGCATATGAATGCTCTAAAGCGTATCATAACCTATGATTAGGGCACTTTAGATCTTGATTTACACATGTATCCTTCGAATCTTGTGATTGGAATGATTCCTATTAGACGATCAACATTGGGTGATAGTGTAATTTTGGCTGACAGTTTGATCTCACGGTCATCCAAACACCAATGTACGCTATCTCATTCTAGTGCATAGGCCAAATAAAGGGAAATAACAAATGTTGTTTGAGTGTGCAATCTACTGTTAGAGCTAGATTATCTGGTTAGTAAAGCTACTCTGGTCTATTCCAACAATGTAAGTTTCATTTAACTTCCAAGAACCCCGTTAAACACCAACACACAAACCACATGGAAATGGATATTCACTTGGTCAGGAAGAAAGTGGTGAAGTACATGCTAGGCATGTGCCTTCACATTATCAAATTGCGGACATTTTCACAAAGGGGTTGTCTCTTATTTTATTTGATGATTTCCGGAACAGTCTAAGTGTTTGTGCTCCTCTCGTCACAAGCTTACAATTGCGAGGGTGTGATAGATTACTGAACTAATCTTCTGTTAATATCTTTCTATAATCAGTAGTTACCTTTGACATAGCCTAATTTTATGTTAAATAGCCTATTGGTAGCTTAATTATTAGCATTGAAACCACTACTTAGTTTTATACATATATAAATAATTCAAGGAGAAATCATCACGAAATTATATTCTTTCAGTATTTTCTTTAGTTGCCATCATTGTAATTTCTAACACCACAAGCTCGTTCACATTCAAAATAACAAAGCATACCCAAAACAAAAAAAAAACAAGGCAGAACACTTAGAACCTTACCATCACTAAAATGATCTCCTTTTAGCAAATTCACAGTTTTGTACTCATAGTCCAACCCTGCACCAAAATAAACAGGGAAATATTACTAGTCCGTAATTATACAGAATCAGAATACCAAAATTATTCACAGAAAATTATAAATTTCAAATTAATTTCTGAAAAAAATTTAAAAGAGAGAGACCTTTCAAATTGAGAGCAATACGGACACGCCAGGCGCAAGAACTCATCCAATAGGAGTAGAGCTTCAACTTTGGTTTTTCTCTTTCTTCTGAATTCGCCTATTTGTTCATCAAATTCAATTAATAACGGCAAATTTATCAAAAAATAAAATTAAAATTATGCAGGAAATTTGAAATTCAATACTAATAAATAAGCGATAGTTTTTATATTTCGAACATTAGATCAAATTTTGAAGTGAGATTGTGTGGGAGAAAAGGATGTACCATAATCACTTGAACAGGGATGGAGAATTGGGAGACTGGAGAAAGAGTAGAGCTCTTTCCCAAATTAAGGTCAAGAAGAACCGCAATTCCCAAATTGCAGCCAAAGTTTTAAGAATTCCCAAAGTACCGTCCACGTCACCGGTTCAGGGGGAAGAAATTTTAAATCCGGTCTACAGCAAAACCGCTACCTGAAGTAGCGGTTTTTACTAATACATCGCTACTTCAGGTAGCGGTTTCTTTTTAATAAACCGCTACTTTAAGTAGCGGTTTTTGTTTAATAAACCGCTACTTCAAGTAGCGGTTTTCTAGCAGGTATAATTTCCCGATTTCACTTTCCTCTTTCATTTTCGTCTTCTCACCAAAATCCCATCCACGCCTTCCACCAAAATCACACCTCCTTCAACGGAAGCCGGCGCAGCCAAGGAATCCACCGACGCCGCCGGAGCATTCCTCAGCAACGAAGGCCGCCGCTGTTGACGCCGAGGGTTCGACTTTAGTGGTCGGCTTCGCTAATTTCAGAAGAAACGTGCTGATCTTCTTGTTTGTGGTAAGTGCCCTAATTATTTTTTGTATTCAGTTATTGGGTTTGTTGTTGTTATTGAGTTTGTTGTTGTTATTGAGTTTCAGAATTGTATGTATGTGTTGTTGTTGTTGGTTTTGGTTGTGTTGTTGTTGTTAGTGTTCTTGTTTATTGTTGTTGTTATTGAGTTTCGGTTTTGGTTGTGTTGTTGTTGTTAGTGTTCTTGTTTATTGTTGTTGTTATTGAGTTTCAGAATTGTATGTATGTTTGTGGTTGGTTTTGGTTGTTGTTGTTGATTTACTTACCTTACATATAACCCTTGTAGAATTATTAATGGTTTCGATCACATTACTCAGTTTAGGTTGCTATAATTGCTGATTTTGAAAGTGAAAATAGAGCTTCTATACACAAAGTACATGAGCTCAAAGTACATGTAGTCATGACTTATGCCCATGTTGAGCTTCAAGAGGTATTAAGACCTTCATAGCTCAGTTTAGGTTGCTATAATTGTGTAGTTTGCTTGCTTGATGTTAGGACATTGCCACACTGTTAATGAATTTTTGCAATCTAATATCTTTGATTAATAATGGTCTTTTCTAGAATGAAACATGGAGGTTCCGAACTACCCTCTATATTGCTATTGGGGTGGAGAAATTGTCCACAAAGATAGCGATATAACGTATAGGGGTGGGAATCAAAAATTTGTGTTTGTACATTCTGCGATGACATATTCACAAGTTCTGAACAAGCTATATGAAGAATTGAGTGTTGATCCTAGAGGTGTGGAGTTGAAGGTGGTTATGCGTTATCCTATGGCTGGGGCATATGTTGCAATTCCGTTAAATGACGACAACGCTGTTAGAGCTATGTGGATTGCTGTGACTCAGAGTTCTTCTGTTGCAATGCAATTGTTCATTGAACAAGTTCCAAAGGAGCCAGTTGTGCAAACTAACACTGGTTCCTTTCCGGGGATGGATTTTTTTGGTAGTGTGGATCAACCGTTTTCCACTGGTGTTCAAAGTGTGGGCATAGGGTCATTTTGATTTCATTTTACTAACATTAAAACTACACTTAAATGTAGGCACATGCATTTGCTGATTTGCACGTCCAGCTATCGGGAGCTACTGAGACCATCTCCCACTTGCCACCAGAGACGGCTATACCATTTGCCATACAGACGATGCAGGGTTTTACATCATTTTGTGGCCAAACCTTGTCTAGGGTGGGGCAGTCACACCTTATTCAGCAGCCTCGACCGTCCACGTCTTCATCTTCTACAGTGCACACTATGCCGATCAGACCACCACCTCATCGTGGAGGCCATTCAGCACGTGCCTTCCGTCCACCGACTCCTTCTCAGCATACTATCATGACATCTCCTCCACTAGTGCATCGCCAGTATCAGAGAAACCGACGGCGTAGCAACACTACGTCTGGGGTTGGAGTTGGCCTGGATGACATTCCAGAGGAGACAGCTGCATCATCTTCATCGTCACCTCATGGGAAGAAGCAACGCCCGAGCTAAGTGTATATTTTGGAACTAAACTAATTTTTTTGTAAATGCTTAGAATTGGATTTTGTTATATTTAATCAATTGAAAAATATTCGACTTTGCAATTTCGACTTCCTTAGATCTTCATAAACTTGTTATTTATGGTGGTTGTGTTGAAAATATGCTATATATCTCATGTTTTACAGGTACACAACTTGCAGGTTTTTTTTTTTGAGTGATTATGCAAGTTTGAAAAAAAAACCAGTCCAGGGTAAACCGCTACTTCAAGTAGCGGTTTTTCAAAGTAAACCGCTACTTGAAGTAGCGGTTTTCCAAAATAAACCGCTACATTAAATAACGGTTTTTTTGTAAACAAACCGCTACTTCAAGTAGCGGTTTTAAACTAAGAAACCGCTACTTGAAGTGGCGGTTTATTGCAAAGAAACCGCTACTTCAAGTAGCGGTTTACCCTGGACCGGAAAAAAAAAAAAAAACCGGTTTTTTAACCAGTGCTTACGTGGACGGTAGAATGGGAATTCTTAAAACTTTGGCTGCAATTTGGGAATTGCGGTTCTTCTTGACTTTAATTTGGGAAAGAGCTCGAAAGAGTATGCAACTGACATACGAGATTGACAAGCTATAGCCTCAGCATTTGAAGTCAATGCTATAACAAGGGTAGTTTAGTCTTTTTAGGTTTTACAAGTTCATGAGTCATGACTAAATTAATGTAATCTTGTTGTGATTTAGGCAATTTTAATCGTGCAACATACTCCCTCCCTATTTTTCTTTTACTCCTCCGCTAAAAGTCGGATTAAACTTTGAAAACTTTGATTATAAATTCTCATTATTCTATAAGGTAGAGGTAATATAATCATGTAAGATTTTATTGATTCGTCTAATTGTATATTTTATTAATATCAACTTTTTATAATTTTTACGTGTGTGTAAATAGAGATATAAACGTTTTAACACTTATTTTAGATATCGTAAAAAGTCAAATACAGCAAACAAAAATAGAGACTAAGTTAGTACTATGTAATGAATCTTGCAAAGTACAACTTTTTCCATATACACACACAACTTTTATATGCACGCGATGTACATTACACATTCATTAATTGAAGTAAATTACATCATTAATTTTGAACAATATATAAATATCATAATTTAATGAGTTAAGAATAAAGATGGCGCAATATGTTAAAAAGTTTAAATTAAAACAATGGATAAAAGTAAACCTACCATATTATTCTCAATCTGTCCCCCCTTTTTTTTTTGCATCATTGACTTTTCACGCTCTCTAATACACATGTTAAAACGTTTATATCTCCATTTCCATATGCGTTTAATTTAAAAAAGTTAATATTTACAAAATATACAATTAGACGAATCAAACAAAGTCCCACATGACTATATATACTACCTCTTATAGAACAACAAAAATTTGTGGTCAAAGTTTTCAAAATTTGACCCAACTTTTGGCAATGTGGTAAAAAAAAAATAGGGACAAGGGGAGTAATTATTATCAAATAGAGTAATATTTAATCATCACAGAATATACATGTAGTTTCAATTAATTTTTTTTGGGTATTTAGAGAGCCACAAGGGCGGAATTGAGAATCGATCCCGGTATCTCCTAGAACTGGAAGGGAACCGGGAGGTAATAAAAAGGGCAAAAAAATAGTCTACTCCATCATCTTCTATTTATTTTACACCAACATTAATGTTCGATTAATTCCTAATAAATAAAAGCAACACATGCTCATACATAAGAGAAGGATATATAAAAAAAAATAAAAAAAAATAAATAAATAAAAATATGCGAGATAGTGTACGTAAAAGAAGATAAGGTAGGTATGTTTATACATCCAAATGAAGGAATTGAAACAGTTAGATTTATGAGAACATTTTTAGAAAAAAATAATAAATAATTATATTTTGTAGGTGAGAAGATTGATAAAGAGTATAATCTTGTTTTAATTAGAAATTTTTTAATTTGATTCATTGGGTGGACTGATTTGTTAGAATCACTAATTACTACTTTTCCCCATTTTATTTACTTGCAACACAACACTTTAGCACACACTTTAAGGGATGTATTAGATTATGTAAATGGACAAATTGATTGACAAAATTTTACCACCAATAAGAAAGAAGTGATAAGTTATTATGAGTTAAATTTTATAGCTTAATTCATTTATTTATCTAGTTTAATCACATCCTCAAATAGCATGTCTTAAAGGTATGTTTCAAATATTAAAAAATAAATAAATAAAATAATAAAAAAAAAAGTCATTTATAAAATTACAGTAGATTTTATTTGAAAAAATTACTTTATTAAAATACAATAGAAGATGATGGAGTAGACTATTTTTTTGCCCTTTTTATTTAATACTTCCTCTGTTCTTTTTTACTTAACCTGTTTCTTTTATCACGCTTGCCAATGCAAAACTTTAACGATCAATAACTTTAATTTTTCACAAGAAAACTTATAAAAGTTATATATTATGGTAGTACTTATTGAGACGAATTAAAAAAGTCTCACATGAATATATTTTTCCTTATATATTATTCACAAAAAACGGTCAAAGGAGGGGTGGTGAATAGTGTAAAAGTTAAAGCGGGTCAAGTAAAAAAGAACGGAGGAAGTAAATTGTTGTGTTTTAATTATTGTACTAGCAAAGAGGGCCATGCGACAAGGCTACTTTTGGCCCACTCTACGTGCGATAAGTGCCAAAGATTTGGCTGACTCATACACCGTCCGACTACTGATTTGACGGCTATCTACAGCCCGGTTCCATTAGCAAAATGGGGCATGGGCATCCTGGGTCCATATACGCCTGCCACAAGCGGACGGAGGTATATCTTGGTGGTTGTAGATTACTTCACCAAATGGTTTGAGATGGAGGCGGTCAAGGGCATTAAGACAAAGGATGTCATCTCTTTCATCTGGAAAAACATCATCACCCGGTTTGGGGTACCTATGTCTATGGTCTTTGAAAATGGCCCTCAGTTTGAAATGCCTACCCTCAAGAGCTGGTTGGGAGATCAAGGGATCTCACATTGTTTTGCATCAGTCGGCCGTCTCCAAGCAAACAGCCAAGTTGAAGCCTTCAACAAGCTCATCTCAGACGGCATTAAGAAGAAAATTGAAAGGGTTGGCGGTCTATGGGCGGATGAGTTGCCTCATGTCCTATGGGCCATCAGAACAACTGAAAAAGGGGCAACCGGTGAAACCCCGTTTCTCATGACATACGGCACTGAAGCCGTCCTGCCAATTGAACTTTATAAGCCAACACTTCGAATCATGCTCTATGATGAAGAGGCAAATTGGGAGGCCATGCGTCTAGCATTGGATTCACTCCCGGAGCGCAGCGGCAATGCTGCCTTGCGTCATGAGATATACCGTCTGAGAATGACGAGAGCCTACAACAAAAGAGTACACAAACGACCTCTAAAAGTGGGGGACTTTGTGTTACGAAAAATGGAGGCAACCGGTAGGGCTAATGAGCAAGGAAAGCTGACCCCCAATTAGGAGGGCTCCTACCGGATTTTTGAAGAAGTTAAAGGCGGCACCTACCGCCTGGAAACTCCAGACGGCAGGCAGCTAGCCAAAACTTGGAATGTAGATAACTTGAAAAAGTACTACTTCTAAAGACTTGTAAATCTTTGTAAATAGAATATATTAATGAAAGAATGCTTTATTTTCATTATCTTTTGTACGAAGTCCCATCTGTGCAATGTACAGCCGGGTAACCGTCTACTCTAAACTGAGTAGACGTAAGCTAAGTATCAAACTTAGCAGATATTTACATGGCCAATGGCCGGATAGTTTTCAAACCGCCTGCTCCAACGTGATCAGGCCACCGGCAACGCCCATTTGGGTGAATTCGTCGAAGAGAGCATCTCCAATTTGGGTGGTACATTGTTCTATAAATCATAACTCAAGCGGCTTTAACCGACTGTCTAGGTTAAAGATAACTCACGACCATTTGAATGATCAATTGAAACCTAGATACAACCGGTCGTTGCTTCAAAGCAACACAGACGGTAACTTAAATCTTGGTCGAATGTTGCCGGTCTTTGCACAAGAGCATTACAGCTGGTTCCAAACCCAAGTTAAGCAAGGTCAAAACCTTAGCAATTACTCCATAACTTGGTTATGATGCATACGCTCGGCCAACGGCCGCTTGCATCCCAACAAACGACAATGACGGACACCCAAAGGGTAATCCGCAGCCGGTTAAAAGAATAATCTAGGTTGTCCCTAGCCGGCACCGTCTGCTAATCCAACTTGGAATAATTCTACTTCTTTAAATAAGGTCAATGACCGCCTATCTTTCCGTCCGGATGCTTATTTGGACGGCTGCCTGGTTAGAGTTGGGTAATATTAAGCAAACAACCATCCAGGGGTAGGCAGAGCCAATGCATCCGGCATACCGCACGTACCGGATTAAATTGAAAAAAGAAAAAGATTTGTACGAGCAAAAATTGCAAAAATTGAAGCAAATAACATCAAAGAAAAAACCGACTCAGTCGGAAAAATATATT